AAGAACTAGAGAACTAAAAGAACTAGAGAAACTAAAGAACTAAAGAACTAGGAGAACTAAAGAACTAGAGAACTAAAGAACTAGAGAACTAGAGACTAAAGACTAGAGAACTGAAGAACTAGAAGAACTAAAGAACTAGAGAACTAAGAACTGAGAACTAAGAGAACTAAAGAACTAGAGAACTAAAGAACTAGAGAACTGAAAGAACTAGAGAACTAAAGAACTAGAGAACTAAAGAACTAAAGAACTAGAGAACTAAAGAACTAGAGAACTGAAGAACTAGAGAACTAAAGAACTAGAGAACTAAAGAACTAGAGAACTAAAGAACTAGAGAACTAAAGAACTAAGAAGAACTAAAGAACTAGAGAACTGAAGAACTAGAGAACTGAAGAACTAAAGAACTAGAGAACTAGAGAACTAGAGAACTGAAGAACTAGAGAACTAAAGAACTAGAGAACTAAAGAACTAAGAGAACTAGAAGAACTAGAGAACTAAAGAACTAGAGAACTAAAGAACTAGAGAACTAAAGAACTAGAGAACTAAAACTAAAGAACTAGAGAACTGAAAGAAACTAGAGAACTAAAGAACTAAAGAACTAAGAACTAGAGAACTAAGAACTAGAGAAGAACTAAAGAACTAAGACTAAAGAACTAGAGAACTAAAGAACTAGAGAACTAAAGAACTAGAGAACTAAAGAACTAGAGAACTAAAGAACTAGAGAACTGAAGAACTAAAGAACTAGAGAACTAAAGAACTAAAGAACTAAAGAACTAGGATAAAGAACTAGAGAACTGAAGAACTAGAGAACTAAAGAACTAGAGAACTAAAGAACTAGAGAACTAAAGAACTAGAGAACTAAAGAACTAGAGAACTAAAGAACTAGAGAACTGAAGAACTAGAGAACTAAAGAACTAGAGAACTAAAGAACTAAAGAACTAGAGAACTAAAGAACTAGAGAACTAAAGAACTAAAGAACTAGAGAACTAAAGAACTAGAGAACTAAAGAACTAAAGAACTAAAGAACTAGACTGAACTAAGAACTAAGAACTAGAGAACTAAAGAACTAAAGAACTAGAGAACTAAAGAACTAGAGAACTAAAGAACTAGAGAACTAAAGAACTAGAGAACTAAAGAACTAGAGAACTAAAGAACTAGAGAACTGAAGAACTAGAGAACTAAAGAACTAGAGAACTAAAGAATAAACTGAACTAGAGAAAGAACTAGAGAACTAGGAGAACTAGAGAACTAAGAAAGAACTAGAGAACTAAAGAACTAGAGAACTAAAGAACTAGAGAACTAAAGAACTAGAGAACTAAAGAACTAGAGAACTAAAGAACTAAAGAACTAAAGACTAGAGAACTGAGAACTAGAGAACTGAAAGAACTAGAGAACTAAAGAACTAGAGAACTAAAGAACTAAGAGAACAAAAACTAGAGAACTAAAGAACTAGAGAACTAGAGAACTAGAGAACTAAAGAACTAAGAACTAAGAACTAGAGAACTAAAGAACTAAGAACTGAAGAACTAGAGAACTAAAGAACTAGAGAACTAAAGAACTAGAGAACTGAAGAACTAAAGAACTAGAGAACTGAAGAACTAGAGAACTAAAGAACTAGAGAACTAAAGAACTAGAGAACTAAAGAACTAGAGAACTAAAGAACTAGAGAACTGAAGAACTAGAGAACTAAAGAACTAGAGAACTGAAGAACTAGAGAACTAAAGAACTAGAGAACTAAAGAACTAGAGAACTGAAACTAGAACTAAAGAAAAAGAACTAGAGAACTGAATGAACTAAGAACTAGAGAACTGAAGAACTAAAGAACTAGAGAACTGAAGAACTAAAGAACTAGAGAACTAAAGAACTAGAGAACTAAAGAACTAGAGAACTAAAGAACTAGAGAACTAAAGAACTAGAGAACTAAAGAACTAGAGAACTAAAGAACTAGAGAACTAAAGAACTAGAGAACTAGAGAACTAAAGAACTAAAGAACTAGAGAACTGAAGAACTAAAGAACTAGAGAACTAAAGAACTAGAGAACTAAAGAACTAAAGAACTAGAGAACTAAAGAACTAAAGAACTGAAGAACTAGAGAACTAAAGAACTAGAGAACTGAAGAACTAAAGAACTAGAGAACTAAAGAACTAGAGAACTAAAGAACTAGAGAACTAAAGAACTAGAGAACTGAAGAACATAAGAACTAGAGAACTGGAGAACATAAGATCTAGAGAACTGGAGAACATAAGAACACAGACGGTATTACTGAGTAGTCAGGACAGAGTTACTGTTGAACTCACGTATTTGTGGTTGCAGGGGTCGAGTCACAGCTCCTGGCCCCGCTTCTGTGTGTGTATTTATTTAGACTGAGAATATCCATGCAGGTCCAGTGGACCCGGTCCAGTGGACCTGGTCTAGTGGACCTGGTCCAGTGAATCCGGTTCAGTGAACCCGGTCCACTGAACCTGGTCTAGTGGACCTCGTCAGTGGACTTGATTCAGTGGACCCGGTCCAGTGGACTTGGTCTAGTAGACCTGGTTTAGTGGACCTGGGCCAGTGGACCCGGTTCAGTGGAACTGGACCTTGTGGCTGGTACAGTGACACTTCCCCCGTATTGGAACCTGGTTCAGTGGACCTGGTTCAGTGGACCTGGTTCAGTGGACCTGGTTCAGTGGACCTGGTTCAGTGGACCTGGTTCAGTGGACCTGGTTCAGTGAATCTGGTTCAGTGGACCTGGTTCAGTGGACCTGGTTCAGTGAACCTGGTTCAGTGGACCTGGTTCAGTGGACCTGGTTCAGTGGACCTGGTTCAGTGGACCTGGTTCATTGGACCTGGTTCAGTGGACCTGGTTCAGTGGACCTGGTTCAGTGAACCTGGTTCAGTGGACCTGGTTCAGTGGACCTGGTTCAGTGGATCTGGCTCGGTGGTCCTGGTTCAGTGGACCTGGTTCATTGGACCTGGTTCAGTGGACCTGGTTCAGTGGACCTGGTTCAGTGGACCTGGTTCAGTGGACCTGGTTCAGTGGACCTGGTTCAGTGGATCTGGCTCGGTGGTCCTGGTTCAGTGGACCTGGTTCATTGGACCTGGTTCAGTGGACCTGGTTCAGTGGACCTGGTTCAGTGGACCTGGTTCAGTGGACCTGGTTCAGTGGACCTGGTTCAGTGGATCTGGCTCGGTGGTCCTGGTTCTTGAAGTTTTATCAGCGGCTTCTAATGGTTCTGAACCTCCTGTGGTTCACTTTTAATTATTAATTAAGACAGCGTCTGACACTGTCAGGAGAACGTTCTTTAAAGTCGTCAGCAGCAACACACTCACAGGTGGTCGTCAGCAGCAACACACAGGTGGTCGTCAGCAGCAACACACAGCTGGTCGTCAGCAGCAACACACAGGTGGTCGTCAGCATCAACACACACAGGTGGTCGTCAGCAGCAACACACTCACAGGTGGTCGTCAGCAGCAACACACAGGTGGTCGTCAGCATCAACACACACAGGTGGTCGTCAGCAGCAACACACTCACAGGTGGTCGTCAGCAGCAACACACTCACAGGTGGTCGTCAGCAGCAACACACAGGTAGTCGTCAGCAGCAACACACAGGTGGTCGTCAGCAGCAACACACAGGTAGTCGTCAGCAGCAACACACAGGTGGTCGTCAGCAGCAACACACAGCTGGTCGTCAGCAGCAACACACAGGTGGTCGTCAGCAGCAACACACAGCTGGTCGTCAGCAGCAACACACAGGTGGTCGTCAGCATCAACACACACAGGTGGTCGTCAGCAGCAACACACTCACAGGTGGTCGTCAGCAGCAACACACTCACAGGTGGTCGTCAGCAGCAACACACAGGTGGTCGTCAGCATCAACACACACAGGTGGTCGTCAGCAGCAACACACAGGTGGTCGTCAGCAGCAACACACACACACAGGTGGTCGTCAGCAGCAACATACAGGTGGTCGTCAGCAACACAGGTCTTGAAGATCCTACGCGACAAGTTTGATCCTACAACACAGGTCTTGAAGATCCCACGCGACAAGTTTGATCCTACAACACACGTCTTGAAGATCCTACGAGACAACATTATAAAGGATCTGAGAGATTCATCCAAGAGTCCTACGGTTGAGTCATATATGCGTCTAAAATGTCAAGAAAGCCATGATGCTGCCTCCTACAAGGACTCTGCCACAGAGATCCTTTTAAACAGCACTTAGGACTCAATACACGACCTTCCAGCCGGCATGTAGGACTCTGTGTGGACCTCTGAAGGAGGTCCTGCGGTGGAAAGCTTGGTACACACCTACACAGCACGTAGGACTTTGTGCGTGTCCTTGGTACAGCATTTGGGACTCTGTGTCTCTTCCTGAAGGACTCCGTTATGAAGAGCCCGACGTAGGCTCTGCAGGAGGCAGGAGGGCCTCCTTGTGTATATTTACGGAGGTAGGATGGGAGTTAAGGACTGGAGTCTGGCCTCCTGTACACCATATTAGCTTCTACAATGTGGGTCACAGTCAACTTTCCACGCTTTTACATGTGGGTTCACACCTGCGTCTCTCGCCTCACTTTCAGCCTTACCGTCTACGTTCCTGTCTTCACTAGGACAAGAGACGTCGTCAGGAGGTCTTAGAGGCGGCCACAGAAGCGTACTCTGCGGCAGGTGGTTGATCCTTCCTGTGAGGGTTCACAACTTTCATTTTCAACTGTGGCTGCCGTGACTAACAGGAGAGTTGAGTGTAAAACCTCATCATCTTATGTGACACTCTTATTCTCTCTTATTACCCTTGAGTTAATGTTTCTTGAGTATCTCTTATCATCATAGAGTCAGTTAGGTGCAGTTGTTGAAGCCTAGCTCCAACAACTGCACCAATCACCAACACCTGCACCCTCATTACCACCAAACTCACACAATATTTCCTCCAGGTCTCCCTCTTACAGACGATAAACACACTTCAACATTCATATTTCCCCACAAGAACAAGACGAAGTAAACATGACGTGTGATAGACATACCTGTAGCCATGCTGACGAAGGCTACACCCCCCTATAGTCCTCACCCGACGGAGCCTTGCAGACACCAGGCACTCACTGAACTTTCAACACTCACACTGAACACCTTGATGAAGTCACCTGGCCAACACCTGCCTCCCACACACACCTCCAGTCTTACCTCAAACACCCCCACACGAATCCTTTATTTATCTACTTATCAGCTTCCTCCTGCCCTCCTTCTCACTTCCAGCGTCAGCAGATGTTATCTACGATGTGTGTGAGGGGGAATTATGCGTAGGAAATGGTTATTCGAGGTATAGAAATGTGTTTGGAGAAAAGCAGAGGAAGATTTGTGGAAGTTATGTCGCCTCAAGACCCGTAAGCCAGGTCACGTGACAACGAAGAACGCGCTGATTGGTCAAGAGAGTGAGGTGGGCGGACCCAGGCGTCAGCCAAGGTGGAGTGCTGTAGACCAACTCCATCACTTCTCCATCACTCCATCACTGCTCCATCATTACTCCAACACTCCATTCCTTCACTTGGCCACCATCACCAGTGTCCACAAAGTCCTTTTTCCCATTTCAAAAACTTTCTTCACTAACGTAGCGAGAGGACACCGTTGTTACAAGATTACTGCAACTTTATTGCCACACCATCAACGTCCCTGGCACATACACTCTGATAGCCCATCAGTGTGGCCCCATCAATATGGCCCCATCAATATGGCCCCATCAATATGGTCCCATCAATATGGTCCCATCAATATGGCCCCATCAATATGGCCCCATCAATATGGTCCCATCAATATGGCCCCATCAATATGGGCCCATCACCACCACTACCACAATCACCACCATCATCACCGCCACTATCACCATCACCACCACCACTACCACTATCACCACCACCACCATCACCACCTTGACCTCGTGTCCTTCATGACAGTTTCCTCACACAGTCAGGGTCAACATTTATCATCATTCTCACTACTCATCATTCTCACCAATCATTCTCACTCTTGATCATTCTCAATGATGTCACATTTCGTAATTTCTAAACACAAACAGTTTATTAAGTCTTACAGAGTATAGGTCATTAATACCTGTGATAAACACGACACACCTGGACACACCTGACACACTACAGGTGTGGGTAAACAAGTGACTTCTCCAGGTGTAGCAGAATAGGTACAAGATTGTCTCAAGTGGAGGAGGAGAAGGAAGACCGGACGCGGAGTACAGCCTGGGTGAAGAGGTGTAAATATCAGTGAGTATAAAGGACCTGGTGTAAGTATGACACCGAACATATCACCAGAAACACACATTAAGATAAGATACTTTATGATAGCATAATACAATGTTTGTATAGAGGTCATGTGGGTGTACACACCTGAAGTTCATTAATATGTAGGCTATTTCTCGCTAACTTAACATTAATAAGACAATGACTAAGTTAGTGGTGTTATATACAGTCTTTAAGGTGGTTGTTAATATAAGTTTGGGAGTTATAATGAGGACATGAGAAGTGAATGTCATGTTAGTACATGTTAGTACATGTTATGTGGCTCTTATCAACTTTGATTGTTTAAATAATTACAATATTGATTATGATTGTAGGTTGTGAGAGTTCCACATGTTATAATGGTGACACAATCAGTGTTTTAATGGTTGTGAGAGTTCCAACATGTTATAATGGTGACACAATCAGTGTTTTAATGGTTGTGAGAGTTCCAACATGTTATAATGGTGACACAATCAGTGTTTTAATGGTTGTGAGAGTTCCAACATGTTATAATGGTGACACAATCAGTGTTTTAATGGTTGTGAGGGTTCCAGCATGTTATAATGGTGACACAATCAGTGTTTTAATGGTTGTGAGGGTTCTATCATGTTATAATGGTGACACAATCAGTGTTTTAATGGTTGTGAGGGTTCCAACATGTTATAATGGTGACACAATCAGTGTTTTAAATGGTTTGTGAGGGTTCCAACATGTTATAATGGTGACACAATCAGTGTTTTAATGGTTGTGAGGGTTCCAGCATGTTATAATGGTGACACAATCAGTGTTTTAATGGTTGTGAGGGTTCCAGCATGTAATAATGGTGACACAATCAGTGTTTTAATGGTTGTGAGGGTTCCAGCATGTTATAATGGTGACACAATCAGTGTTTTTAATGGTTGTGAGGGTTCCAGCATGTTATAAATGGTGACACAATCAGTGTTTTAATGGTTTTTGAGGGTTCCAGCATGTTATAATGGTGACACAATCAGTGTTTTAATGGTTGTGAGGGTTCTATCATGTTATAATGGTGACACAATCAGTGTTTTAATGGTTGTGAGGGTTCCAGCATGTTATAATGGTGACACAATCAGTGTTTTAATGGTTGTGAGGGTTCCAGCATGTTATAATGGTGACACAATCAGTGTTTTAATGGTTGTGAGGGTTCTAGCATGTTATAATGGTGACACAATCAGTGTTTTAATGGTTGTGAGGGTTCCAACATGTTATGTTGGTGACACAATCAGTGTTTTAATGGTTGTGAGGGTTCCAACATGTTATAATGGTGACACAATCAGTGTTTTAATGGTTGTGAGGGTTCCAGCATGTTATGTTGGTGACACAATCAGTGTTTTAATGGTTGTGAGGGTTCCAACATGTTATAATGGTAACACAATCAGTGTTTTAATGGTTGTGAGGGTTCCAGCATGTTATAATGGTGACACAATCAGTGTTTTAATGGTTGTGAGAGTTCCAGCATGTTATAATGGTGACACAATCAGTGTTTTAATGATTGTGAGGGATTCCAGCATGTTATAATGGTGACACAATCAGTGTTTTAATGGTTGTGAGGGTTCCAGCATGTTATAATGGTGACACAATCAGTGTTTTAATGGTTGTGAGGGTTCCAGCATGTTATAATGGTGACACAATCAGTGTTTTAATGGTTGTGAGGGTTCCAACATGTTATAATGGTGGCACAATCAGTGTTTTAATGGTTGTGAGGGTTCCAGCATGTTATAATGGTGGCACAATCAGTGTTTTAATGGTTGTGAGGGTTCCAGCATGTTATAAGGTGACACAACAGTGTTTTTAATGGTTGGAGGGTTCAGCATGTTAAACTGTGCCAATCAGTGTTTTAATGGTTGTGAGGATCCAGCATGTTATAATGGTGACACTCAGTGTTTAATGGTTGTAGGGGTCCTGCAGTTATAATGATGGAACAATCAGTGTTTAATGGTGTGAGGTTCCACATGTTATAATGGTGACACAACAGTGTTAAATGGTTGTGAGAGTTCCAGCATGTTGTAATGTGACACAATCAGTGTTTAATGGTTGTGAGGGTTACTGCCATGTTATAATGTGGACACAATCATGTTTAATGGGTTGTGAGGGTTCCAGCATGTATAATGTGACACAATCAGTGTTTAATGGTTGTGAGTGTTCCAGCATGTTATAATGGTGACACAATCAGTGTTTTAATGGGTGGAGGTTCCAGCATGTTATAATTGACACAATCACTGTCTTAATGGTTGTGTGGGTTCCAACATGTATAATGTGACACAATCAGTGCTTTAATGGCTGTGAGAGTTCCAGCAGTTATGATGGTGAACAATATGTTTTAATGGTTGGAGGGTTCCAACATGGGTTTATAATGGTGACACAATCAGTGTTTTAATGGTTGTGAGGGTTCCAGCATGTTATAATGGTGACACGATCAGTGTTTTAATGGTTGTGAGGGTTTCAGCATGTTATAATGGTGACACAATCAGTGTTTTAATGGTTGTGAGAGTTCCAGATACTAAGAACAAGATGAGAATACAGGTGTATAGCTGTCACAGGTGTTGGATTGTTAGGAAGGACACTGCCTCAACACTGCCCCGGACACTGCCACGGACACTGCCTCGGACACTGTCCCGGACACTGCCTCGGACACTGCCTCGGACACTGCCCCGGACACTGCCCCGGACACTGCCTCGGACACTGCCTCGGACACTGCCTCGGACACTGCCTCGGACACTGCCTCGGACACTGCCTCGGACACTAGCCTCGACTATGTCACCGGACATGCCTCAACACTGCTCAACACCGCCTCAGGGCAATGCCTCACACACTGCCGGCACTGCCTCGGACACTGCCTCGGACACTGCCTCGGACACTGCCTCGGACACTGCCTCGGACACTGCCTCTTCAGATTTCCAACACAGAGGTCCAGATTTAGAGTATTTATATGTAAATTGAATTTTTACGGGTATGACAGAGATTTTTGTGCCTAGTGTTGTCTATGGATCTTGTTGCAACCAACAAGTACTTCAGGTCGGGATTAATACTGGAATATTAATACTGGAATAGTAAGAGTGAATAGATTTAGATCTCTGAAGACTAAGAGGCGAGTGTTGTACACCAGTGGACCGTGTGATACTGTGGCTTTATGCTGGGTTATTATTGGCTTAAGGTGATCTGCTGTTATGGATCCCCAGACACAATTAGCGTAGGTAAGGCAGGGATAAATCAGTAAGCAGTATATTGTAAACATGACCGCAATAACACATGCAACACTGTCAGTCCTCAGTATAATGTTTAGAAATTTGAGTCAAGAATCCTTCACAACGTTATATACGACATTCTTGAGTACGCAGCCCCAGAATGGAGCCCACCACCTGGGCACTCCTGGGAAAATACAAAATCTGAAATGTCTTCACTACAAGTCAATAGATCATCTTAATGTAAACAAAACGAGCCTATGTAAATAGATTTCTAAACAATAAGTTTTTGCTCAATTGTGAAATTTTGAGCCAATAAATTTATAGGCCCGACCGAAGGTTGCCAAATTTCGAATGTTGCAAAGTTGCAATTGTTAATGAAACATTATTTTTCTAATTTATTATGCAAATAGATAATATTCAAAAAAATAAATGTTTAACCAAAGAAACAACATAAAAAAATATTTGGAAAAGGTTTAAAACCGAAATTTCCCCTTTTTTATTTAATTTTGTGAGAAAGAAAAATCATTCTAGCGTTAAATTTACAAAAATGAAAAAATTTTTGAGGGGATTTTTTCCCTTTTTTGATTTCATAATTTTTTTTAAAATCTGAACTTTTTGATACCTAGATGTTTT